GGTATTTAATTTATGAAGAACTGTTCGGTTCGGTTCGGTTCGGGTTCGGTTCGGTCTGGTTCGGTTCGAGACTTTTGGACACCCCTAACCAAAATCCTCAATCACACATATATATCACCCACAAGGGCATCCAGATATACGTTTGTCGTTCATGTCGCAGTCGAGTCACCTTATCATCATACAATCTCATATATTTTCTCACAATTTTTTTTTATCAAGCAGTAGTTGAATTTTAACAGCCTTAAAGAGCTTATTGATTTTGGAGCCACGGCCACTTGACATTTTTCAGTTACTAGTCAGAGTTGAACTTGCATTACACGTTATTTTGAAATACTTATAATTGTTACAAAAGTAATATTTAATATCAATTTGTTGGGAGGATTTGATGAGACTCAATCGAACTAAAGAAAATAAAATTTAAGATAAAAATTTAAAAGAAGAAAATCGTATTCTCAAAATTCAACTTGTATAATTGAAATTTTTTTTATTTTATTTTATTATTATTATTATTATTATTATTTTTTGTGAAAATGAAATACTACAAATGAGTAACTTTTTTATACTACATTTAGTATATACGAATTAATTGATAATACATAAATTTAAACATACATTAAAATTTCTAGATACACGAATAAAAATAAATTCATCTATAATAACTCTAAATTCATGTAGATCAAGATTCATTAAATCAAGATTCATTAAGTCGAAATTAATGTGAATATTAATTAATTGAGAATTAATAACATGAAATTCATACATAACAAATATTTTGTAATATTTATTATATATTGAAAAACGAAAAGTGAGGTATTATGAAAATAATTGAATTATAGTATGGTTAAAATCGTTTAAAATATGATTATCACTTGATGTGATATTTAATATATCGTAGATTTATTATAGCATGTCATAGTTAGCCTTGTTGGTCAAATAAGGTTGGATAGAATTTCGTAAAAAAAAAGTGTAGGAAAGAGTGAATGCGTAGCATTGTAACAAAATATAACAAGATACGTATCATTTCCTCCACATATACGTTTGTCATTCGTGTCACAGCCGAGTCACCTTATCATCCTGTAATCTCATAAAGACGCCATGAATATTCGACAGACAAGAAAAGAGAGAACAGATGAATTGCTATAATTTCTCTCCTAATTAATCAATAAAATTCCGATTACCCAATAAATGTTCAGCAAAAGTATTTGTATATAGATATATACGTATACATTATAGTAATCTGTAATTGCAGTTGAAGCCCTAAAATTTGAACTCTGCAACTCCGCTGTTTGTAAATTAGTGAAATTCGATGGGATCGGTTGACTTGATCTGATTCATTTTGTTTTTGTATTTATTGGTTAGAACTTGTTTGGTGATATTTCTGCATGAAAATAGTAGTGGGAGAGGAATTGGAGACAGATTAGAGATAAAGAATTTCATAGGTTTGTTGGCGCAACATGTCTGCCGTAGTGTGCGGAAAGAGATCGAACATCTTCGAGGAATCACCGTCATCGCCGCCTGTGTCAAAGAGAATCCGTTGTTCTTCATCTTCCTCTCCCGGTCGAACCCGCTCTCCTCCAAGGTCTGCCGCTTCCAATTTCTTCATCTCCCATTCGTCTTCACCACTCGATTATCTCGTTGCTCTCTTTCCTGATATGGAAAAGCAGGTTTTTCTTTTTCATTTTAGCTCTGTTATTGGTTTTTGCTCGGTTTTCAATTTATTTTGTGAGCAAAATTGTTACTTTTTTGTTGGATTATTGAAATGGTATTGCGTCATGTTTGATATCAATGGTAATTTCTCACACGGGATAGGAACAGTTTTCTTATGATTTGCATTTTTTATGTGATGATTGTTGACCATTGATTTGTTATTTTAATTCAGGATGGTGCACGTATTCCATTCTTTGGATAGTATTTGATGTTAAGTATTGGAAATTTTACGCACTTCCTGGGCTTATAGATGACAAATCCTATTATGGTTTTATTAGATCACATGTCAATGTTAAACTTGATGTGGAGCTTTCTTAAAGTATGCAAAGCCAATGTTCATCGTGCTGTATTTAATTAATGATGTATATTACTGAATTCTCATCCAATTTGTCATTTTCCAGGGTCCTAACTGGTATGTCTAATCGCGTTATGGTGTTATACGAGGAAAATGGAAGAATTGGAATATATGATGCATTGCCTTGATTTCTGATTTATATGTACAAGTTAGTACTTGGGTACCAGATTAGTCGCAAGTCAATGATCGAGTCAATAATAAGCTCATCATTGATATTCATGGACCAAAGCCGAACAACTCTAGATAATAAGTTCCTAACAAAACCTGAATCAAAGAATTACTTCTAATGAAAGCACAAACCTGGTAATGCAGCTAATGCTTTTCTAGGCTTGTTTTGTGTTCCGCCTATTTTGTACATGCCCAAATGAAGCTATGATTTTCTTCTTTATATGTTGTAATGAGCTCCTCCAGGCTCTCCCCTCCTTTTCTTTTGCTGTATTTTGGAGAGGAGAGGATGGATAGAGGGAAAGAAGGAAAGGCAGACAAAACGAATTAATTTCTATATTATTATTTTACATTTCTCTAATTTTTTTGGAAAATTACGGGGGAAGAAATAGAATAATATGTAGAAAAGGAAAAACGAAAGAATAGTAGTTAAATGAATATTCTTCTTTTGATGCATACAGCAAAGGTTGGGGGAATTTAAATAGGTTCTTCTCTGAGTCTCTCCTTAGTTTGTTCCATTAAATCCATACGAAATATACATCGCAAAAGAAACAGAGATGTAACATATGAAGATGTATATGGAAAAAGTGAATGTTCTCGATTAAAATATAATAAATTGTCCTCCATATAAGGAAAATATTATGTCATACTTCATGACTTCCATCATTTGATGTTATTTGCCTAAAATTAACTCCAGTTTTTGTTGAAGTAGATCAATGTGCTTTGTGCAAAAGCATGGACCTAGATTCTTATCCCTGGATGTGGTTAGTGATAACAATGGCTGTTTAACATGCTTTTCAAAGATAAATATTAGAGCAATCCAATTAATCTGATAAATTATACTCATTTCAATGATTGGTTGGTTACTTGGTTTTCATTAGTGAAGAAAGCTACAGTCTCATGAGTGTTTGAAATTTGTAATTCATCATTGCATGTGCACAACAATGTGAATGCTTGATTGTTTGTGCAACACAAGCTCCACTCAGTTAAATGTGTAAAGCCAGCATTTGTCCTGCTATTGAGTTCCAGCTCATGAGTGTTCCTGCGTGCCAGTTGCGACACAGTTTCTAATATTGTTGAATGCTTTCGTTAATTCGCAATGCATATCATTTTTTTTCACATTTCAGTATTTTACTTGTTTTCGGAGGAAATAGATGGTCTTTGATTCAGAGACATAAGGTTATATGCCAAAGTGACAGAGCCAGAGATTCAATTTTGTGGATGATATACTATATAACAATGTTGAAATGAAGAATGAATTTTTTTTATCTTGTTTCTTCTCATTTTATTGGGGGAAGATCTTCATTCTTGCGCACTGTGTGGAAGGAAAGAAAAGGCAGGACCTAATTAGTTGTGAGGGGCTGGAAGGGAATGAAAGGAAGCTAGTATTCTAATGATACATCTTTCTGCTTTTTACATATTCCCTTCCCTTCCCCTCCATTAATCTCAATACAAATAGAGTTTTTCTTTTCTTTTCCCTTTATTTCTTTATTCAGACTGTATGCAAGCATGCTATCGTTTGCTCAACTTGGCTGAGATATATATCTTTAAAAACTTTCATACATTTTCATTATGTACAAGTAGGGTTGGTTGTAATCATTTCTATGAAATAAGATATCTTCTGTTAATTTTCAGCATGTGTTTTACTTCATTTTCTCCCATTTCCTCATCACGTAAGTCGGAGACTATAAATTCATTTCGGGAACACAAGTTGGTCAAGCACTTATGAAGTATTATAAAAAATGTGAATTTACTCTATTGTCTCTGACTTGTTACTGTAAACTAATAGAACTATACAATGTTTAATGATTTTGAAATAAAGTAAGAAGATTGGATACTGCCGAACATCATCATAGCAAAGAATCTGCAGACTTTTATTTGAGGAGAACTGTTTATTAAGAAAGAATTTCTTTTAATGACTAATTGAACATGTTACATACTATTTGCATATAACAACTGTTTATTTAAATGAATTTTCTGATTTCCATATGTAAGCAACACAATTTGCATGGTTTCAGAGAGGACAGGAGCGTCTCCTATGATTTCTTGCCCATCGCTCCACCCTTCCTTGCACCTCTTATGTTTACTTGTGAAGAATGACATACGAGATTGCCGACTTGTGCGTAATTGATGTTTGATTATGAACATAAGAGTGAGGATGGATTTAACTTTTAACATCACACCATGCATTCTTTTCAAAAATAAAAATGCATGATAAAAAAATTAGGCTACCAAGTAGCATGTGGGGGTCAGTATTCCTTGATAAATTGTGCACTGCGTGTTGCTCTGTCCAGCTCAAAATTTTTTTTAGCTTCGTACCATTTTACATCAATCTATCGATCATTTGCAGTTATTATTCCTAATCACTTAGACTTTGAATGACACGCTTGGAAATTGGTATAGGATACTAATTGTTCAAGAATTTGTGAAACCTAAATATATAAAGATTAATAAACGCCTCTTTGGAAGTTGACTATACTTAAAAAGTCAACCAATGACGAGTAGTGCAAGAAAAGAATATAACAATTAACAATACCTCTTTAGATGGTGAAAATGACTAAATTTTAACAAGTGACAAGCAGTGTGAGACGAAGTGGGTAGTAACAAGTATGATAGAATGGAATTAATTTAGTTTCAAATAAAAGTGTGTTTAACCTATATCATCACCATATATATAAATATAATTCAGGCATAAATTACTTAGTGTATGTATTTTGGAAGACTATCCCACTGGATATTTCTTGTTAAGCTCAACTTGGTTATCTTGTTCAAGAGATGCAAAAGTTCTCAACAAATGTTTTAATACAACAAATAAGAAAAATGGATTTTTCTGAACACGGGAAGAATCAATATGGTTCTTTGTCATGCTATTACATGAAGTAAGTTTTAATTTTGCACTTAATGTTAGTAGTTATTACCTTTACCTAACTTGAGGTTTGTTTTTCTCGAATTTCTTCCATATTAACAATGCGTTAAGAACGTCTTTTAGTATTTATTGATTTTGTGCTATTGAGGTTGACCAGATGTAAAAGTCATAAATGAGATATTTCATCACTTACCTAATTTCCTGTGTGCGTTACTGCTTGTACAAACTGACAAAATGACAGAAAGCAAAGCAAATTCTATATTTATTCATTCTCTGTTCCACTTTATTTGTTTGATATTTGCATGATTGCTCTGTTTTCGCATCAATCTTTACCATTTCGGTTGTTTCTCATAATCATCGTGGTCTGATACACTTTAAGAGTATGGTATGTGTTAGTTTTTGTCAGTTTTTTTTTTTTTTCAATATTCTGCTCTATCTGTGTACCATGGTGATTGATGATCTTGGTTGTGCACATGTTTCCATATCCATAGGTAGATAAAAGATCTCATGAACATATAACCTTTGCTTTTATTGTTAGACTAATCAATCGATGACATTGCTATTAATTTTTAGGTTCTAGAGAAAGCCCTTGAAGATTCTGGTGATGATTTGGATTCTGCTATAAAAAGGCTGAATGAGCTTCGTTTAGGTACTGCTGCAATCAAACATGGTGTTTCCCAGGGAATTGATGTCCAATTTTCAGCTCAAGGTGCTTCTATCTGTAGCTTTATTATCTGATATATCTGTTTGTGGAGCTTTACTAATTTGAGATGCTTCTGTATGTGTATACTCTGATAAATGGTTTAAGGATACTTGTGATTCCATTTAAAACCTGTTAAATCTGAAATTATCTGAAAGATGTTGATGCACTAGTCATCATATCTAAATCGTTGAAATTTCTTTCATAGATTTGATTTTACACTTAAAGATCTCTTTGTCAGAGTCATTTATTGACTACAGACCCCCCTCCATCTCTATCTCAACTCAGCCGATGTAATTATTTTTATAGTTGAACGGCGTGCAGGCACATTCCCTTCATATATTAGCTTCTTCCTTATTCCTGTTAACCGCTTTGTAATAGGCCCATTCACATGAATTCAGGCAGACCTGGCCTTTGGGGAGTTCTGTTTAGAAATACTGGACTTATATGTCTTTTATGATATTTTCTCCTCATATGTTTGTCTCCCAATTGACCTGGCTAATACTGTCATCTAGCACCTTTTATAGAAGAAACAAGTACCAGTAGTACAGTCACACATGAAGGGACCTGTGATCTTTATTTTGATAGTAGTTACTTGTATATTGCACTTTAGCCATGCTTGGCATGTGACATACTTTTTTTTTTTCATTTTGTTTTTTTATTATCTCATGCCACATTATTTCCTGTGTGGATATGCCTTTAAAGATTTATGTCCTATCATAGCTATGTTATTGCTCATGTAATTAGAGAATGCAAACTGTAAACTGCTAACTAAGATTCTCAATGGCTTTTTAGAATGGAGATCCATTAAGTGGCTATTGTTTCCCTTCTATTGATGATTTGGTGCAATCTGTGAACTTTTTTTAAATTCTATACTTCATATCCTCTAGTGGTGCCTTTAGATCATTATTGTATAGCCCTTAAAGCTTGTTCCTTGTTAGTCTTAAGGTCACGGTAATAAGAGAAGGATGTAGAATTTAATATGCTTCTTCTTCGAAGAAATTATTTTAACCTTTACTACTCCCACTTGGGTCTACAAGTTTGGCTGTTTAAAATGTGTCAGTTGCAGTAAGACTTCATTTTCCCTCATTCCAGATAGTAAATAATTCTCAAAATATATAGTATGAAGCAGTAACACTTTATCTTCTGTCCCTTTACTCTAAGTCTTTGGAGAAACTTGAAAAATCACATCAAACAAAGCTTTGTTCCCACTATATTTGGGCTTGGTGGAGAAACTGGAAAAAGAAAAATGAAAAATCCCCTGTTCATCCTAGAAAAAGAAGGTAAAGTACCAACAATACCTTGTAAGCTTTATGTTGAATGGGTATATACTCCCCTCATGTCTGTTTAAGAGGAAGACTAGTGTTTTAGGCTGGCAAACTAATTAAAAGATTAACCCCCATAAGCAACTATTAAATAGAAACCCCTAAACTATACTTAAAAGAATTATATGTTAAAAAAATGACTGTTCTTTATTTTGTCATAATATGTAGTTAATTATTTTGATAAAAAAAAAATTAAAATTAAATTATTTTTATAAACAAGTTAGCTTGGGGAGAGCCTACAGTCTTTTCTGAAATTATTAAAAATCTTGATAGTTAGTTGAATTAGTTAATTTATTATAATATGATAAATATGACTGTGATTGCTGATTTGGCATTTGATTGCGATAATTGAAAGAAAACAGCACCTGTACTTTAACCTGCATTTATTGATAAAATGAATTTGTCTTCGAATTTTATCATTTGTATTCTTATTTGGGGTACGTAATATTCATTTTATTGAACTTTGTACAGACAGAAATGCTGAAGTACAGCTATATGATTATTAGGGGTATTGGAATTTTGTCTATTGCTCTTTTCCTTCAAGGTGGAATCTGCTAATTAGTTTTCTAGTTGTCAGACATCTTTTCTTTGGACAGAATGCTATTTTAATTATTTCATTTCAAGTATCTTGACAAAAGGTCTTGCGAATTTGATGATTAACGGAGTTATTAATTGATTCCATTGCTCATGGATCTTTTCAATGCATGTTTCTATTGATTTTCACAATCAGTAGAAGCTGCAAGAAATAAATATTTTTCAGTTACTTTGATATATATATCCCAGTAGACAAGCAATCTCATCTTCAAGGATCTAGCATTTTGTAAATGGCTATAATTTCTTTATATTTATATCAAGTTGATATTCTTCCGTGGAGGAATTACACACGCACGCGCGCACACACATATATAGACTCTACAATGGTTTTATTGTGTTTACATAGTGCTCATTAAATTTGCATTTAATAATGCATTTAATTTTCGATAAAGGCAGGGAGAAACTTAGGATTGAAAAATTGGGCTACACCCTAAAGTATAGGCTAAAATTATTTTTTGTCGTTTCACTCCATAAGATTGGCTTAAATATAATTTTACTGCTCAAAATTAGTTAAAAAAACTTAGCCCACCCCAAAAGCCCTACATTTCTAGTTTTGCCCCTGGGGTTCATTTGTGACTGTTCCTATGCTATTTTTCTTGAACTTGGAAATGGGTGCCAAACACGAGTGTCTGGTTCATTAAAAGTGTGCCATTTTACATTTAAAATGAAGATCTACATGCAATAGCCAATTCTAAATTGTAGAAGGGTGCTTGTGGCATATGAATGATTACTGAAGTTTTCCTTTAAAGTTTACATTTTTGAAATCCTTTCATAGGATGAATGATGGGATAAGATAATTTTATTTTAGATGCCTCTGTCGTTTCCTAAGAGATTTCTTTGAAGGACTATTCAGATTTTTTAACGCAACATTTGCGAGTTGGTAGAGATTATACCTATAAAATTATTAGTTTAGGCCCTTATATATTGCAAACTTCTCTTACCTACATGATCTTTTCTGACTAGTGAGTGAAGGGAAGAAATTATTTGTTTACTCATTCCATCACAAAAGATATGATTGTGTTAAATAGAACCTTGAATATGAAGTTCAGTGGGATAGCCACAGGTGTGCTATCATGACTTTGGAACTACAGTCATATAATTGTTAGAAGCAAACTGCTGCCCAAAAGACGACTGTTTCTAGATTTATGGGTGTATTTGTATTATTTTTAATGCTAGATGATTGTTCAATTTACAATCTTCATCTGTGTGACCAAGGGCAATGGGTTTCTTTTAAAGAACTAATGCTGGGCCTTGGATAACTCTGTTTTTGATTTGATGAGGCCTGCAGTAGTTGAAAATGAAGTCATGGAATTAAACTGCTTGCTGCTTAGCTCTTTCTTACCAACCCAATCACATTTCTTCTCACTCATTTGTTATTTATCTGGTTGTTTCATAGTTCCGTGGTTTTTCTTTTTTCTTTTTTAAAAGGCAATTATTGATACAGTCAATTATAAACATGAGATGCTGTTGCAGTCTTTTCACAGTCAATTATAAACTTGAAAAATGAAATGTTTTTGCAGTCGATGATGCTATGCTGTAATGCAGGTACAGCTGCAAATATTGGTGAGAGTTCTGGAGAGGAACCATCCGCTGGATGCAATCTCCCCTTGGATGGTGCAGAGTGGGTGGACCTCTTGGTTAGAGAAGTAATAAATGCTTCAAATGTAAAGGATGCAAAGATGCGTGTGTCGCAAGCACTCGAGTTACTGGAGAAGTCCATTTTTGCACATGCAACTGCATCTGCATCTGCCCAAAATATGCAGAAGGTGTGTTCTTTTATGTTAGTGGTTGCTCATTTAGCTTGTGTGCTGAATCCTATATTTGCTTTAAGTGTTGGTATTATAGACAATGTTTTTTCTTTTTCTTATCTAATACTATCCAACTTACAAAAACGCCAATACCGTTCTGCTACTACTTTCTTTGATTTTCATGAGTGTCTTATAGGAGAACATGGTGCTAAAGCAACAGCTGGAAGCACTTATACAGGAAAACACCATTTTAAAGCGAGCAGTTTCCATCCAGCATGAGCGCCAGAAAGAGTTTGAGGAAAGAGGCCAGGAGTTGCATCAGTTGAAGCAGCTGGTTTCTCAATACCAGGAGCAGCTGAGAACTCTTGAGGTCAGATTCACAAACTGAAAGTCTTAGAGCATGTATACTCTAGGTTATATATATCTTTCCTTGCTCTAATCATGGTAAAAAGGTGAACTGGACTAAACTGAACTTGCACCTAAACCATGGTTCAGACTTCAGAGACACGTTTTTTCATCTTAGAAAAGTCAAACTCCACGTGAACTCCTATCCCCTCAAGAAGTGTTAATTCCTATCTTCAGATGGTAATATTTCTCAGAGCAATGGAGTTTCAAATACTGATCCTTTTATTCTCAATGGAGAATGGAAGTGATCATAATTTCAACATTTTCTAATTGAATATACAGATAAGATGATTAAATTAAGTTGATGCATTTCATGTAAATTTAAAATGACTTCAATTAGTGCAGCCTAGGGGATGTAGCTGTAGTAGTAATTTAAAAGCATGAACTAATACCTTATCCACCATCCTATCTACCGACTATGTTCTGAGATGCTATGTGAAGAGGGAGAGAACCAATTGGCGTATAATCTTTAGATTTTTTAAAAATGTTTCTTTTAATGAGGGATATTTTCAATGCCACTTTTTTTTTCTTCTCCCTCTTTGACCTTTGTAATCTATTGAGAAATATTTGGAATGATTGTGCTGATGTACATCACCACTTACAGATTGATGTACATACACATGATGTGTTAAGATATGATTAGGTGGTAATTTCTTCAACCAAATAAAAAGATGGGGAGAAAAAAAAAACTTCTACTCTCTTCTTGACACTTCATCTATCTGTAAACTATCTGTAACTCCTTATGTACAAATAGCATTATTTCATTTGGAATCTGTTGTTTCTTCTGGGCTGTTATGAAACTTCAATAAGCGTGGTGTTGCTTTTCCATTGACTACTTCTGGCACTTTATTATGTTCACCAATACCTGAATGCTAAAATCTGTCATCACAAGAATTCTCTGTTGAATATTCCCGTGCGATAATCACCGTTTATCTTTTCATCAGGTCAATAATTATGCTCTGGCAATGCACCTCAAGCAGGCTCAGCAGAGCAACTCAGTACCTGGGCGTTTTCACCCTGATGTGTTTTAGTCAATCTTTTCATATGTATTATGTATCCGCTGTCTGTGTGTTTAGTACAATTAAACGTAAGAAAATCCTAAACGGTTTTTACTATTTCGCCTATCTTTAGTTGGAATATCTAGTGTGGATGATAATATACTGTTTGTGCGTGCTGATTGGTAGTCAAAGACATGTTTGAACTATCTTTTAGTTCTATTTTCTTCATTAATAAAGGATTTTATGCTTATAGCAGGAGACATTAATAGTTTCTTGTACTTTAACGTAGGCATTCCTCTATCTTCTTTTCCTAGCTTGCCAGCAACATTTTTCCATTTCAAAGTGGAAGGTATGCGTTACTCTTATAGAATCTAGCATCATTAGAGTTACAAGCAACTAGGCGTGTGTTGTAGAGAATGGTCGTGTTGAAGAAGATATGAATCTCATAGTCGATTTCATATTAGAGCTTTTGCTATTCTAGGCTTCTCATAGTCGATTTCATTCATGGAAGAAAAACTATTTCTGAGTAATACTGATGAAGTCACCATTGATTCGATATCAGGTTGCCTGATTTAATGGTTTTTTAAGGTAGCATCAAGTCATCAAGATTCATACTTCCAAAAATTATTGAACAGACAAAATAAAGTCAACTCTGCCATTATAATCTTTTATAATCCGAACACTGAAACTAGATTTAAGATCTATAAATACCAATAATAAAATAACTACAAGTTAAATCGAGTATATTTGGTACACGGTAAAAAGAGTAAAGTCGTGTCAAATACTGTGTATCAAATATCCGGAATGTCTAAAACTATGACCTTGAATCCCACATCAAAGTTGAATCAACATGTTTAAGTGCATTACCCTTCAATGGGAACAAAATACACTACAAAACTTGTAATAACAGATTGATAAACAATGACGTGTTTATGTGAAGTAAATATATTTCTAATGTGTCTAGCTTGGTAAGATGAGAATCTTCACTTCGGTACCTTGAACTGAACTTGAAAACTCAACTCCCAGAATTTATTGCGTGATCATGTCTAGTCCTGTCGAGTCGAGCACAGGGTTCAAGAAAGTGAAACAAGCCTTGTACCAGTTTTCATCATTTTCTTGAACTCGACAAAATTAACCATGCCATCTCCATCTATGTCAACCTTCCTAATCATCTCCTTGCAATATTCTAACTTATTACCTTCCGTAAACCCTAAAGAAGACAACACTAAACCTAATTCTTCCACTGTTATCACCCCATCTCTATTTCCATCAAATATATCAAAAGCCTCTTTCCAATACCCACTCTCTCTTTCTTCCTCTTCCTCTTCATCTCTACTCGACTTTGGGTCGAAAAGCTTGCAGAACTCGTCGAAATCAACCAAACCATCTCCATTTGAATCAATCTTTTCAACAATATCTACAACATCTTTCTCTGTAGCAGAAATTCCAATACTTTTGAGTGTTTCTTCGAGCTCTTTCTTCGTTATAAACCCATCATGGTTCTTGTCAAAGGTTGCAAAGACACTTTTGAGCTCAATCTTATTGCTTGTTGTACAATTCTTGAGCTTGTTTTCAGACATGGATCTACTATTGGTTGATGGAGATTTGTGAAGGAAAAATTGGATATTCCATGCAAGAAATTTCTTTCTTGTGGGGTTGGAAACTGTACAGATTAGACCAATGATGAAGAGAATAAGAAATAATAGTAACATGGTCATTGACATCATCGTCTTTTGCTAGTTTGATTTAGCAGAGAATAATGTTATGAAAATGACATGAATTGAAAGACCAAAAGAACAAAAATGATTTTCTTGAGAGGAAAGTCTTTGGATATAAAGGGCAAAAATGTAGAATAAAAAGAAAGTTGTAGAGGCTGATCCCATGAAATGGGTGAAAATTGTAGGCTCTCGACAAGAAAAGATAGGTAAAAAATTCACATGTCGCCTCTTTGATTACAAAATACTCACTCCGTCCCATAAATATAGGTTTACTTTTCATTTTTTGTTATCCCAAATTATAGGTCATTTTTCTTGTTGAGATTATAATTGATTTCTTAGTTTTCTAATGTACCCATATTTAATTTGTCTTATACTTATCAACAAATATGAAATACTAATATTTAATACAGGGGTATATTACAAAAAAACGTAAGAAATTATTTTTTTAATCATATTAATTACATTTTCTTAATTGGTGTGAAAATGGGAACGCGCCTATCTTTGTGGGATTGAGGGAGTAATTTTTTAGATATAGTGAACGGATGCTTGTTTGATTTATTAATGGTAGTCAATAGAAAATTGAGGTATCGATCTAGATTACAATTTTCTAGTTTGTGTCCCATCGTGATACGAGATTTAAAACAATATTTAAGCGGGCCGACCCGGCCCGAACCACCTGGATTGACACCTCTAATTGAGGGAGTAATTTTTTAGATATAGTGAACGGATGCTTGTTTGATTTATTAATGGAAGTCCATAGAAAATTGAGGTATCGATCTAGATTAAAATTTTCTAGTTTGTGTCCCATCGTGATACGAGATTTAAAACAATATTTAAAATATTATTATTCCTCATTATTTGGAGATTTAAGTCAAATATTAAAGTTTGTAATTGGATTAAACCTTTAATAACTTAGTTTTGATGTCCTATTCAAATGCCAACACATTTTTCAAACATAAATAAATTCAACAAATATATATTATAACTTGCATATGATTCAAAACTAATTTATGAAGATGATCGATGCAAGAGTTTTGACTCTTCGTCTGCACGATGATATATATTATAACCTTCTTTTCTTGTGATACTGGCATTTTCAAAGATAATAAAATGAAAATTTCCATTTTTACTGCTCATCGTCGCCCAATTTTTTAATTTGATGAAAAAAAATAAATTTGGTCTTGACGTTGAGAGTTTGTCAAAGACATAATTTAAATAAATAAGTTTATCTTTCTCTAACAACACAAGCTTTCTTACTAGTAACACAATATGAACGTGGAATTCATTTGTAAAATTATTTTACTTTTATATACATTATTTATTTATGGGTATTAGTTGTTTCATTGTTATATGTGATGTAATATAAAATATTTATTTTGAAAACATTGTTGGAAAATCGTGCAATTAATTTATGAACCCTAGACCGAGAGCAATCGTTTTCAAGAACTGTCTTGTAAATCCAAATTAGATCTAGACATTGGGAATAATAAATTACAGATCCACAATTTTTCAATCACGCATTTCATCAACTTTTATCAAAATTTACTAAAAATCTGATTTTATTCCCCACCAAATAGGGCCATGCACTTATTTAGCTGCTCTATTTGTGTCCTTAGACAAAGAAGTGGGTGCAATGTAACTCGTACATGTATTGAACATGGTTTAATAAGTAAATACCTTATGGATCGATCGATCGATTAATATCAGATATAAAGAGTAACTGAGCTATAATCAACTAAGAATAATGCTAGTTGTGCATTCTTCCTTGACATATTCCTTGACATTCTCCTATGTGGAAGAAATTTGGATAGTGATGTGATGACTGTAGTCAAAATCAACATTGTAAATGTAACCACGTGGAAGAGTGTAAACCTTGATGTCAACTACGATATACATATAGCATGGTTGATCAACTAATTATCCTACAACTCGAGAAATATACAATGACTTTTAGATATATTGCAAGTGCTTCTAATTTAAACTATGAAAAATTGAAATATAAATGATAATATTAATATATTATAAGAACAAACCACCACTAGGTAGTTGCTTATAATATTGATATGTGAAATTGGAATATATTTGTAACTTCTAAAAAGTTGTGTGTATAAACTGAACATTGACCCAATGTCCGGCTTGACTCATGAGTCTATGACTTGGTTGTCGAGTCATTGTTGTGAGTGGGTTAAACTAATACGAGTTGGTAAGTCGATTCGTGCAATCTAATTTATTCTTATACATACACTAACATTTTACACTTCTAAATTGACATGAGTCCATTCATCTCCCATAATCGACCTAATTAATCCAAATTAACGGGTTGACTCGATCGAATTTACTTATTTTGACACCACTAAATCAAGACTTTACTTCCAAATTTCCAATTGAAGAATACTCATCATTCTAGCTTGGCTCAATTAGATATATTTTCGAAGTTTTAAAATATTGAGTTTTGCTACTTGTACATCACAATGTACATCGGGGTGTACACCCCCCTTATATGGGGGTGGGATCTGCTTAAATAAAAAGTATTTTATGCAGAGGTCCCACCCCCCATGTGAGGGGAATGTAGTCCTATGTACAAAAATTGATGTACAAGAGGAATTTTTCTAAAATATTATGGCAACCCCTCGAGACATCTAAAAAGGGTAATGATATTCATCCTTAGTGGGGATGGAAACTAGTGATGGCAATCGAGCCGAG